ATTTCCATATTTTTTGAAAAAATTAATTCCTATAACCATAAAGAAAATCACGTGACTTTCGCACTTATCATTTTCTTCAAATAATTAATTTTTTTAATAAAAATTTTCATTAAATCCTAAAAATAAGATAATAAATACATTTTTTCTTCAATAATAGTAATAAAATAATGAAAATTGTCTCGTCTCTTGATTTTGTCATTATTTAACCAACCTTTTTATGTTGAATACGTTTTAAATTTAATTGAGCTTCAAAGTTATTCTTAGATACATTGAGATTATATATATCAAATATAAAATTCTTATAAATATGTTTCTGATACACTGATTGAATGGATAATTAGTGAATTCTTATAAACCACTGCTGGTTCAAGGGGATTCGCTACTTAAGGGGATGACACACATTTAAATTTTCAGTAGCATTAACTCATTAATTTTTTATTAATGTGTGATGCCAATAAAAAAAATATAAATTAATGACTCAATTATCAAAATAAAATGAATTAAAAATATAATAATAATTTTTTTTGAAAAATCAATGATAAAACTTAATTATCAAGGTGCACATCGGTCTTGTCTAAGGTAAACATCACTAGTTTATTGGTTAAATAATGAAAAAATCAAGAGACGAGACAAAGTTTATTGACACTATTTTTCATTATTATTATTATTGAAGAAAAAAAGGTATTTTATTATCTTATTTTCAGGATTTAATGAAAAATTTATTAAAAGGAAAAAATATTTGAAGAAAATGATAAGTGTAAAGTCACGTGTTTTTCTTTATGGTCATAGGACTTAATTTTTCTGAAGATAAGAAATGAAAATAATTAGCTAATTAAATTTTATATTTTTTCTGAAAAAACAAAGTTACTTCCTTAATATTTTGTGGCGTTTTATTTTACAGATCTAGCGCTCATCCCAGAAAGGCATGAATCATCATCTGTAATTTATTCGAGTTGGCACCACATTAGTGTAAGGCGCAAATGATGATCCGAGCCTTTCTGTAAAGGGTGCTAGATCGGTAAATCGAGTTGGCCCACACATTAGTGTAAGGCGCAAATGATGATCCGAGCCTTTCTGTAAAGGGTGCTAGATCGGTAAAGTTTCTAAAAGGGTGTTTGATAAGTAAATAAATTCTATAAGGGAAATTTTTCGGTAAAAACGCCTCCGTCTAGTAGGTTAGGATGGGTATGGATTGGGTAAGATTTTGACCAATCCAAAAAAATAGATCTGTTTCATTCGAATTTGAACCAATTTGAGTTTAGAGTGATTTTATCCCACTTGAAATTTGATTCGAGTTTTTTTAATAAAATTCAAATCTGACCCGCCTGAAAATAAATATATTTATGAAAAATTATAATTTTATTTAATAAAATAAGAATTTAATTGAAAAAATAATATGAAGATGGGGTACTCTTATAATTATTCCTAAATATATAAGATAAAATTATATTATTTTTCGGTTCGGGTCGAGTATTTTTACCCTAAACCGACCCTACACAAACTTCTACTTTAAAAAACCCTATCCAACCCGACTCAAAGCCATTTTTTATAACAAAATCCAACTCGATCGGGCAGAACCCACCGGGTTCAGGTTCCGTGCTCCTCATCTTTTACCATCAACTAATGAGTGAATAAGGAACCAATAAGCTCATCAAGATGAGATACTTTAGGTTCTTTGCTTCGATGATCGTCATCTTCATCGATTGCCAAGATTTTGGAAGAGATTAAATCATCTTCCTCACAAACTTTCATTAGAGATGATTTCTCCATATATCCCTTGAGACCATTGACAATCACATAAAATCTATCTGTTATAGCTTTGATGTCTTCATCCAGTTTCGTCTTGAAATTCTCATAGCTATGGTTGAGAAGACTGATTTTCGTTTCCCCCACTTCATCAGTTCCTTCACGTGACTTGGAGTTTGTTCCAAATCTCCTTGGCATTAGATTGAGTTCCAAACTCCTAAATCATTGGCTTAAATGAAGAGCATCATTCTATCTTCAATAGACATAATTTGTCAATTAAAATATGGTGACTTGTTAACCGATTATGAATTTTCAATGTAATGGGAGCTGAAGGTTGAAGTCATCTTTCTCGGTTGATTGTGGAATTTGATAGAGCTCTCTTAGGACATTCTAAAGGTTGTTAAACCATCGATAGAGCCGTTCTGATACCAATTAGCTTTATCGAAAAACTTAAATAGCCAAGAGGAGGTGAATTGACCTTTTAAAATTAAGGGTGGAAAAATAAAATTTGCACAAAAAATTTAGAGTGATTCAACTTTCTAAACCAAAGTTACATCCACTACCTTAGCATCCACACTAATATTTCTAAAATATACTAGATCTGCTAATCTTTGAGGACGAAGTGTAACCTTACAATAACACATGATGTTTATACGCCAAAACCTTGTTTATATCTCCAGAAGAGGGATTACAAATTTAGAAAACTGAAGAAAACCTCACAAAGACAAATGAGTTTGCACTAATTAAGCACACACCGAAATCACACTTGAGTAAGAATAAACAAGAAGCTCACAAGTGTGTTACAAAGAATATGACAATTTAAATTCTAAAACTCTTTTGATGTTGGTTTGATCTTGCGATTAAATTCTTATTGTTCTCCATTTGAATCTTTGTCATTTTATGTATTCTACATCATTCTAGTCGTTTGGAGCCATGGGGATTGATTAGGAGTCCTTGAATGCATTAATTTTGAGCATTTAATGCTCACCTGCGCATTTAGTATTGATACCAAGTAGGTGGGTGTCGAAACCGACCATCCTAACGATAAAAAATATAGTTGTTGAACCGTCGGTATCGATACTATTTATGTGAGTATCGATACTCACCCACCAATATCAATAACAATACCATGGTATCCATATCAACAAGCTTACTGAAATTTCGGTATTGAAATTGACATGGTCTCGAGACTGACAATAGTTTTTTACTAAATCAAGTGTTTTGTGCTTTAAAATAATATTTATAAAATGTAAAAATACTTAATAATACTTATGTATTTTTCATACGCAAAAACACTTTTAAATAATTTATGAAAAAATATTTATAAAATCGTAAAATACAAATTTTAACAACTTAAAACATTTTAAATATCATGTTTTATCAAAATAAAAAAATGGTTCAACAAATATATATATATAAAAGCTACTCTTCAACAAAATCAAGACTATGGAGATTGGCTCATCACGCGATGTCACGGGATCTCCTTCCATGAAGGTTGATCGAGTAACAAAGAATGCTAAGAACAAAGAGGCTCAAGGAGAAGGGGGCCAAGATGATTCTTCTTCAGACATTGAGGAAACGTCTAAAGATTATCGCGTACAAGAAAACAAGAACTATCAGTCAATGGCATCCCATGCAAGGAGGGAGAATCCTTAGATGGCGGAAAGAAATCATATGCAACAATGGTGATAGGCCAACACCAAAAAAAACAAGGCTTGAGCCAAGAATTTCGTCGAAAAGGAAATTATCCTTCAAGAAGGGGATGTGGCAGTGGTTCCAGTGGTTCTTTCCCAAAGATTCGTTTTTCAGAGAGAATCCATGAAATTATTAATAGGAATATGAGACTAATAGTCATTATCCGACTGATGGACAAGAGATTGGTTATAGAGCACTACTGAACAAAATCCAGACCTTGTGGAAAACTCAAAGAAAACTTTCATTTAGTAGACCTTGACAACGATTATTACCTGGTCGGGCTGGAAAACGAAACAAACTATGCGGGAGTGCTTTTGGAAGGACCATGATATATGGGAGTTATTTGACTGCTCAACCTTGGAACAGAAGTTTTACCACCGCGACCCTATCTATCAGGTTATCGTTTGGGTACGTCTTCCGGGTCTTCCTTATCTATATTACTTCAAGATCTTATTTCAGAAAATAGCCAATTCTATCGGTAGAGTTATCAAGATAGATTACAATACTAATGTTGGTAAGCGTGGACAATTTGGGAGACTTGTCGTAGTGTCAATCTAAACAAATCACTATTACATATATCGGGATTAATGATTTTGTGCAAAGAATTGAATATTAGGGTATTCACCAAATATGCTTTGATTGTGGGGTGTATAGCCACACGAAAAAAGTTTGTATTGCGAAGGGTAGTGATCACCATATATCGGGAATCCATTTGCTCTTGAGGAAGAATCGCATTTTGAACCTTGGATGATCGCTTTACTAGGGGTATAAAACCTAGGAAACAACCAGGAAATACGGAAGAAAGAAGAGGAGAAAATAGGCCATCAAAAATCAAGATTTACGATTCTTCAAGACCTTGAAGATGAGACTAATCAGGATAATCAACAACAGATGCAAGGGCAGCACCTTGAAAGTAAATAAAAAAGCAATTTGGTAATATTCCAGCACATGAGGAAAGAAATACTGGTAGTAACAAAAACAACGCCAAAGGTAAAGGAAAAAAAGTTACACGCCGAGCATGATAAGGAACGATAACCCTAACCTTAGTGCTGCAACATAATTTAAGCTCATATGTGCACGTGAGAAGCTGAACTCAGAGAAAATTAGCTACTTTGTTGGAAGACTCTGTCAACAGTCTGTTGCTGGTTTTTTAGCTATTTGCTAGGAGCAAATTCGAGTTTCTGTTTTTAAGTATTTTTAGCACCACTAACGTAGGATTGTTAGACGTGGTTAGTGGAGATTGTTAGCCAAGTTTTTAGTATTTAAACATTTTATGTTCAGCATTTTAAATATATAAAAGAAAGTTCAGCTCTCTCTCATTGTTCTATCATCCAGTTTTGTGACCTTCCTCTGAAATCAAATATTTGGTATCAGAGCTAACTAATTATCAGGTTCATATCCAGGGAATTGTTGAGTGAGAGAGAGAGAGCACTTAAACACAAGGGTAAACACGGGTTAAAGAGTGAAAATGTTGTTCATAATGCAGAACAACGGATCTGAAATCCACTTCACAATTGCCTTTCTTTAAAGGCATAAATTATTAGTTTTGGAGCTTGAAAATGAAAATATTATTCAAGTCTCAAGAATTGTGGGGTTTTGTTGAAGATGGATTTGAAGATGCTCAACCTCCAGAACCTGATCAACAATTGAGAGAGAAGAGAAAGAAAGATTCCAAGGCATTGTTTATGATACAACAGGCCTTGGATGATGAAATCTTTCCCATAATTACCTCGACAACCACATCCAAGATGGCGTGGGATACTCTAAAGCAAGAGTATCTAGGTGAAAAGAAGGTGATTAGAGTGAGGCTGCAATCACTAAGGAGAGAGTTTGAAATAGCTCTAATGACGGACAAAGAATCTGTCCAAGATACTTGTCACGTATATCCATTTGGTACAACAAATGTGTCATATGGAGAAACAATGACCAATGACATGTGGTTGGAAAAGTTCTAAGAAGTCTCACAAACAAATATGATCATGTTGTAGCGCTATTGAAGAGTCAAAGGACATGCCATATTACACCTTTGATGAACTCATGGGATCCTTGCAAGCTCATGAGGAGAGACTCAATAGAAATGGTGAGAAGAAGGAAGATAAGGCATTCCATGTGAAAGGAAAATCCTCAAACAAGGAAAAGATAAGGCAATTCAGTGGAAGAGCTAGAGGAAGAGCTGGCTCAAGAGGAAGGGGTCGTGGAAGAGGACATAATATGAAAGGAAAAGAGAAATCATATAAGGTCCACTCAAATGTTACTATTGCAATAAGCCATGCCACAAAGAAGCTATGTTGGAAGAAGGAGGAGGATAAACAAAAGGGTGATCAAAAGTCTAATTTGTGGAGAATGAGCAAAAGTTGTTCTTAGCACAAAGTGCAGCTGGCAATGATGCAGGAGGTGGCGTGTGGTATGTTGACAGTGGGTGCTCCAACCATATGTCAAGTGCCAAGTCTATGTTCAGAGAACTGAATGAATCTTTAAAGAGCAAGGTGAGGCTTAGAGATGGAAAATATCTTGAAGTGGAAGGAAGAGGCACGATTGCAATCAAAACTGAGCAAGGAAACACTAAGCTCTTATATGATGTGCAGTATGTGCCAAATTTGGCTCACAATTTGCTGAGTGTGAGTCAATTACTCAATTTGGATATTCAGTACTGTTTGAGAATGATTTCTGTTTGATCTGTGATAAGAAATCCAAAGAAGTTGTAGTAAAGATTGTTATGGGGAAAAACAGAATGTTCCTTCTTGATTTATCTGGCAATGTGAGCAAAGCACTGACAGTTAAAGGATGATGATGCCAAGCTGTGGCATCTGAGGTATGGTCATTGGAATAGGTAGGGTTGAAGTTATGAGTTCCAAAGACATGGTGCAAGGGCTGCCTAAAATTGGTGAGCTTGAGTTGTGTGAAGGATGCTTATATGGAAAGCAGTCAAAATGATCATTTCCTAGTAGCAGAGCTTGGAGAGCAAGTGAAAGTTTGGAACTGCAACATGCTGATCTCTGTGGACCAATGCAAACAGTTTTCTTGTTGGAAGTAAGTATTATTGCTCATAACTGATGACTACTGTAGAATGAGTTGGGTCTACTTTCTAAAGGCTAAGTCTGAGAAAACCTTAAGATTTTTAAGGCTATGGTTGAGAAACAATATGGTTTATGTGTGAAAACCTTAAGAACATATCGTGGTGGTGAACTTTTGTCAAATAAATTCATCACATTTTGTGAGGAGCAAGGAATAAGAAGAGAATTGATTACACCATATACTCCAGAGCAAAACGGAGTAGCTGAGAGAAAGAACATGACTGTTGTAGAGATGGCAAGAAGCATGCTCAAAGCTAGAGGTGTACCAAACAACTTCTGGTGTGAAGCTGTAGCTACTGCAGTGTACATCCTCAATGTCTCTTTTATAAAGGCAGTTATGAACATGACACTATTTGAAGCATGGAGAGGAAAAAACCATCTGTAAATCATTTAAGAGTTTTCGGTTGTACAACTTATGCTTTGGTTGATTTGAGATCTAAACTAGATAATAAATTTTGAAATGTGTATTAATTGCCTATGCTACTCAATCTAAGGCATATAGACTGTATAACCCTCTTACTAGTAAGATTATGGTCAGTAGGAACATTGTGTTTGATGAGAATGCAGGTTGGAATTGGGAGCAAAGAGAAAGTTGTGACAGTATTCAGCAGAAAACAGTTGGGACTGATAGTTCAGGGGAGGACTCAATTGTGCCAACAAATAATCAGTAGTCTCCAAGTCCTCCTACAACACCATCATCTTCAAATCACTGCTCATCATCTTCTTCAAGTCTTTCATCATCAAGTTCATCGAATGATTCTACACCAAGAAGATACAAGACTCTTGCTGACTTGTATGTAAACTGCGACTTTGCACTAATGGCAGCAGATCCAACCAGTTTTGATGAAGCTAAAGATGAAGTTGAATGGAAAGATGCAATGAAGGTGGAAATCAAGTCCATTCAAAAGAATGAGAAATGGAAATTGGTTGATCTTCCTGAAGGGAAGAATGTTATTGGACTTAAGTGGGTATTCAGAACTAAGTTCTATACAGATGGGAGTATTTAGAAGCACAAAGCCAAGTTGGTGGCAAAAGGGTATGCACAACAAGAAGGAATCGATTTTAAGGAGACATTCTCACCAGTGACAAGATTTGAAACTGTGAGAGTGGTATTAGCTTTGGCTTCTCAATGGAAATTGGATGTGTTTCAGCTGGATGTAAAATATGCATTTCTCAATGGAGACTTACAAGAAGAAGTTTTTGTTGAGCAACCACTCGGCTTTGTCAAAGATGGTGAAGAAGGCAAGGTTTACAAGCTGCAAAAGGCACTTTATGGACTGAAACATGCTCCAAGAGCCTGATACACCAAGATTGACTCATTCTTTCTTCAAAATCAGTTTGAGAGAAGTAAGAATGAGCCAACTCTCTATGTGAAAAATAAAGGCTTGAATGGATTCATTGTTGTCTGTCTTTATGTTGACGACATCATCTACTTTAGCTCATCTCAGAAGCTGCTAAATGATTTCAAAGCATCAATGATGAAGCAATTTGAGATGACAGACTTGGGACTGCTTCAGTATTTCTTGGGTCTAGAAGTAAAGCAAGGAGAAGATGGAATATTTCAGTGCCAGAGGAAGTATGCAGAGGATTTGCTGATGAAATTTTCAATGAAAATATATGAAACTGTCAGAACTCCTATGAATCCTAATGAGAAGCTGCAGAAGGAGGATGGCACAGGAAAAACTGATGAAAAGTTGTTCAGAAGTCTTGTAGGAGGTCTGAATTATCTCACTCACACACGTCCTGACATTGCTCATAGTGTAAGTGTGGTATCTAGATACATGCACTCTCCAACAAAGCAACAACTAGGTGCAACAAAAAGGATTCTGAAGTATGTTGCAGGATCAACTCATTTTGGAATCTTGTATGAACATGTCAGTGAGTTCAAGTTAGTTGGTTACACAGACAGTGATTGGGCAGGCAGTTTAGATGATAAGAAAAGTATATCAGGGTCAGTTTTCAGTTTTGGCTCATGAGCTATCACTTGGAGCTCAAAGAAGCAGGATATTGTGGCTCTGCCATCATGTGAAGCATAATATGTAGTTGCTGGTGCAGCAGCAAGACAAGCTGTTTGGCTTAGAAAATTGTTGAAAGATTTATGTTGTGAGCAGGAAGGAGCAACTGAGTATGGTGTGATAACAGGTCTGCGATTGCTATGACAAGAAACCCAGCGTTTCACGCAAGAACCAAACATATTGAAGTTCAGCATCACTTCATAAGGAAGCTTGTGTCAGAGGAAACAATCACTCTAAGATTCTGCAGCACAAACGTCCAAAATACAGATCTGTTTACCAGGCTTTAGCTCAAGCCAAACATCAGTTCTTTATGGAGAAAATTGGTATGTATGAGTTTGAATTAAGAGGAGGTGTTGCAACATAATTCAAGCTCATATGTGCACGTGAGAAGCTGAAGTCAGAGAAAATTAGCTACTTTGTTGGAAGACTCTGTCAAAAGTCTGTTGCTGGTTTTTTTAGCTATTTGTTAGGAGCAAATTTGAGTTTCTGTTTTTAAGTTATTTTTAGCACCACGTAGGATTGTTAGACGTGATTAGTGGAGATTGTTAGCCAAATTTTTTAGTATTTAAACATTGTATTATTCAGCATTTTAGAATATATAAAAAAAAAGTTCAGCTATCTCTCATTGTTCTGTCATCCAATTTTGTGATCTTCTTCCTCTGAAATCAAACACTTAGCATGCAGGAACGTAACATTAGGATAAGTGAGGAATACTTGATTGATGTTCCAGTTAAGACCGGGAATATTGAAATCAGAGACAAACCTAATGGAGACCACTTACCGGAGAACCCTCAAATTATGGCCGCTAATGAAGTGGAAGTTATTGAATACAGCCCACCCATTGGCCATGGTAACCACAAAGCTGTAACTATCAGAGAGGAGAGTATCTCTCAAAGAATCCGAAGAGGGCGTAAGAATCAATGAGAAGGGTTGAATGTTAAAGGAATGAAGAAGGGCTTGAAAGTGAAAAAACCGAGCACCTATAAAGCCCCAGATCCTCCATTATTATCGGACTGCATACAAGCTATTACTACACAAAGACAAGATCCCCCTCATAATTAAGAAGGGTCATCGGGTATTAGTGAAAATGCTCAAGTAAGGAATTTAAACAATCACCAAGATACTGGTATAAAGGAGAACCCTACTCCTGGTATGTCACATACAAGGGAACCATGCTAATTTCTCCTATGGATATTATTTTCTGGAATACTCAAGGGGTGGTTCAACCTACTTTCCAAAGAACTTTCATAGGAATGTTGAAGACTCACAGACCCATTATGTTTGCTCTTCTTGAAACTCGTACGAGCGGCACTAAAGCGGTAAGAATTTTCAATTCTTTTAACTTCACCAATTCCTTTCGGATAGAGGCGCAAGGTTTTAGCGGTGGTATTTGGCTCATTTGGCAGGATATAATGGAGGTTAGGATTTTTAAAATCTCCAACCAATTCATTCATGGCAAAGCTAGAAAGGTTGAAGATTCTAGATGATTTTTCTTTACTAGGATTTATGCTAGCCCTCATCCCACTATCAGAGAACATGTCTGGAATTTCCTTTCTACTCTTAACCCCAGAAGAGACGAAGCGTGGATTCTAGGTGGAGATTTCAACTGTATCCTTAGGAAGGAGGATCGGTGTGGTGACAACACTCAATTTAAAGGAGGTAGCAAATTATTCAATGATTTTGTTTTTAACAATGGTCTTTTTGAAACTGTTTTTCAGGGATCCAACTTTGCTTGGAAACGAGGAAATCTTTGGCAGAGGCTGGATCGTTGCTTAAAGAATGGAAAATGATTAGAGATGTTTCCCCATTCCAGACCGCAACACTTAGATCGGATAGGTTCCGATCACTGTCCAATTTTATTTCAGACCCATGACCACCAAAAAGACAGATCTAAGAGACCCTTTAAACTGCTGGCAGCCTGGTTGGATCATCCTAAGTTTGGGGAGTTTATCCAAGAACTGGGTACTTCGGGCGAGTTTATGGCAAACATCAATGGGTTTAAAGAAAAAGTGACGTTGTGGAATAGGGAAACTTTCGGTTCTATCAATAAGAAGAAGCGCGAGATTAAAACTAGGCTCAAAGAAATCGATAGAGCTCTGCAGAAATATACTCCGATTTCCTCGCTCAACTCGAAAAGCAGCTAAGAGATGATCTAGACCATATACTCAGAAAAGAGGAGCTGCTTTGGTTTCAAAGAGCTCGTTGTAAATGGGTGAAATATGGGGATAAAAATACCGGGTATTTTCATTCAATTGCAACGACCAGACAGTAGAGGAATATGTTTACGTCTCTAAAACTACCAACTGTACAAAGAATCTCGGAGCCAGAATCCCTGAAGGCTCACGTTACTAGCTTCTTCAAGAATTTATTCACTAGCGAAGGTAATGATCTTCCAGCGTTTGATATTAGAGGCTCATTTTCCCCGTTGAATGAGGCTCAACTTCAGCTCCTAAGTGCGCTTGTTGAGGATATAGAAAAAAAATGCCATATTTGAGATGGGAGCATTGAAAGCTCCTGGAGAGGCTGGTATCCATGCTGTTTTTTACCAAAAAAACTGGGACCCAATCGGAGGAAATGTTTGCAGTTTTTTGCGTTAGGTCTTGGGAGGCAAAGCTATCGAAGCAACGTTAAACAGGACCGTCCTTGTATTGATTCCCAACGTCACAAAACCTGAGGCTATAACCTAATACCGACCGATA